TGAGCAGCCGGCAGGGTCCCCCCTGAGCAGCCGGCAGAGGCCCCGTGGCAGCCAGCGTGGAGCATTTCTGCCCTGTAGGGAAAACACAGTTAGGAGTGGACCTGGCTTCAGAAGACACTGGGAGGTCCTGGGGTGCCTCCTCCTGTGCAATCGGTGGCACCGTCTCAGCCTGGGGGTGAGGACGCCCCGCACGGCTGTGGTCTGGTCCCAGGAGTGCACGTGGCCTGGATGCCCCGGGGACGTGGGTGCTTGGTTTGGCTTTCTCCTCGGAAAGGTGGTGACTGCCTCTCGCGGGGCTTGGGAGAGAGTTCACTAGGAAGGCGGTGGGTCTGCCCTGGGCAGCAGCAGCCACACCCACACCCACAGGACAGCCCTGGTGCCCGCAATGCTCAGGGTAAGTGCAGCCACCAGACCCCTGACCGGACGGACGTCCTCTGTCCCCACAGTTTGACAGAAGTATCCAGAAACTTCTAGCAACCAGGATTGCCGTCTACCTGATGACGTTCCTCATCGTGACCGTGGCCTGGGCAGCACACACGAGGTGCCGGCTGGGGCAGCTGCAGCTTTGCCACCTGGGTGGGGTCACTGGCAGCTTCTGCACTCAGCACCCACTAGGTCCCGTTCTGGGGGTTGGCGAGCTGCCCCTCACTTCCTGGGCTAAGCCCCAAGGGCATCGGGCAGCGGGCTCCCCTTCACCAGTTCTCATCCAGGCCTCTGCTTTGTCCCTGCACATGGCCGTGCCGGGCCTGGGGCAGTGAGGGGAGAGCTCCCAGGTCCGGGCGGGGCATCGCTGCCGCCTTCTAGAGCTGCCTGGGACGCACAGGGCAGGGCACAGAGGGATGGAGGGACGCCCTCGGCTGTGGCCAGCGCCCTGGGGCTGAGCTGCTCTCCAAGGCAAGCTTCCTTAGGCTCCGAGGGAAAACGGCCTCAGCGCTGCGGGGACCCAGAGCCCAGCGGGCGCCAGGCAGGGAGTTGGGGTGGGGGCACCTGGGAGAGCTTGTTTTCCTCCTCTTACTCTTATGAGGACTTCCTTTTTATGCTTTAGAAATAAGTAGCTGGGGTAATTTGCACTCTACCTTCACCTTCTTGCTTTCCATTTTGTAATTACCACGCAAGGTCAATGAAGCTAAACTCAACCCCCCCCCCCCCCCCCCCATTCACAGAGAGGAGGCGGGGTGGCCGCAGCCCCTGACCAGCCTGCTGTGGGCAGGCTCCCGGCTGCACTGGTTCACCCGAGGCCACACCCTGTGCCGGAGTCTGGGCTCTGGGCCAGTGCAGACCCTGGCCTCAGGCCCCAGGGGCCTGCCCTCACCTGGGACCTGCCCTGAATGCCGGCCCTGGAGGCCACGCTTGGCCCCTGGTGGACACAGACCACCAGGTGGAGGACTCAGCCACTGAGCCAGGCCAGGAGCAGGCGCATCCTGGGGTCGGAGCCCTGAGGAGACCCAGGGGCAGGAAGGCGGGCAGGCTCGGTGTGTCTCCAGCTGCTGGGCCGTCTTGGGAGCTGCGTGCGTGGCTTTGGCTTCCTCGCCCGCAGACGTGGAGCCTGGGAGCAGCTGTTCCGCGGGCGCCGTGTGGGCCATCCTGAGAGGGAGTCCTTGTCTGTTTTCCTTTATCTGATTTTTTAAAGATTTTTTAAATTGATTTTGCGAGAGAGAGAGAGAGAAACAGCTATGTGAGAGCAAAACACGGGTGGGCTGCCTCCTGCACAGCCCTGTGGGGGAACAAGCCCGCATCCCGGGAGGGGCTCTGACAGGCAACCTTCAGTGTACAGGACGACGCCCACCCCTGAGCCGCACAGGCCAGGGCAGGGCTTCCTTACTTCAATGGCCTTTGGACCCGAGGCCTAAAGAGCAAGTCTGCTGTGGGCCTCACACCTCGGGTCAGGCCACCACGGCCTCCCTCGGGCCCCCATGGCCAGCCTGCCCCAGGCGTGAGGACAGGGACCCCCAGCGCTGCCAAGCGTGTCCGTTGGTTTCCACAAACTGCTTCTGCTCGAGCAGCCGCTGCGAGTGAGAAGAAGGAACGGACACGCGTGGGGGCTGACGCGGTCTCGGGGCACCTCCGCGCTCCGCTGCGTGTTGTCCGTCTGTTCCGACCTCCGCACACGGCGCTGTTTTAAACGTGGTTAAAGCGGCGTGTGGTGGTGCTGCTGGGCCCGTGTTGTTGATGGCGCGTCTCCGGCCTTTCTGGCCGGCTTAGGTTGTTCCAGGTTGTTGGGAAGATAGACGACACCCTGGCCTTGCTCAACCTGGTGAGTTTCCTCCCACCGAGGGGGGTGACTGCCTGGGGCTCCTCCCTCCCAGGGGCGAGCGAGCGAGGCTCTCGGCTCCTCTGCGTCACAGCCAGTTCCTCCCGCTGAGAAGATAGGGGTGGGTAGCACGGGGCGGGGGGCCCAGCCAGCCTGGGGTGCCCTGCCCACACCCTCCTCCCTCCTGACTCCCCGCCTCTGCCCAGGCCTGCATGATGACCATCACCTTCCTGCCCTACACGGTGAGTACTGGCCGCTTCCAGGCCTCACTGAGCTCCCCCCTCGGGGTCCAGCCTGCCCTCGCCTGGTGAGAGGACGCGGGACCCAAGATGCTCCCTCCTCAGGACCTCAGCCCAGCGGGGGGTGCGGCAGGCGTGCTGCCTGGGAGGGGGCACCTGGGTGTGCAGGCGGGTGGAGGAGGGGACGCCCCAGGGGCCCTAGCAGCCTGCATGGCAGAGACGTGCCTGGGCCTCCAAGGCCTCTGGGGGGCGCCCCCT